CCGCAGCCTCGACTGCTGGGCTCCGGTGATCCTTCCGCCTCAGCATTCTGAGTAGCCAGAATTACAGGCGCGCACTACCTTGCCTGGCTGATTTTTTGATTTATTGTAGAGATGAGGTCTCGCTCTCCAGGCGGGTCTCAAACCCGCAGGCTCAGGCAATTCACTCACCTCAGCCTCCCAAAGGCGCGGGATTACAGACTGAGCCACCGAGCAGGCTTTCATTGTGGTTTTAATTTGCATTCCTCTGATGATTAGTGAGGCTGAGCATTTTTTATGTGTTTATTGGCTGCTTATTTATTTTCCTTTGAGAAGTGTCTGTTCTTGTCCTTTGCCCACTTTTTAACAGGATTGTTTGTTTTGTTTTGTTTTTCCTTTCAATTTGTTTGAGTTCCTTATAGATCCTGGGTGTTAGGCCTTTGTTCAATGCATAGCTTGCAGACATTTTTTTCCATTCTGTGGGTTGTCTCTTTACTTTCTCGATGGTTTCTTTCGCTGTGCAAAAACTTGTCAGTTTGAAAAAGTCCCATCTGTCTATCTTAGCTTTTGTTGCAATTGCTTTTGAGGACTTGGCCAAGAATTCATTGCCTACTCCAGTATCCAGAAGGGTGTTTCCTATGTTTTCTTCTAAGACTCTTATAGTTTGAGATTTCATATTTAAGTTCTTGATTCATTTTGAGTTGATTTTTGTATATGGTGATAGGTAGGAGTCCAGTTTCATTCTTCTGCATGTGACTAGCCAGTTTTCCCAGCACCATTTGCTAAATATGGTTTCCTTTCCCCAATGATTGTTATTGATGTCTTTGTCAAAGATGAGTTAACTGAGGGATTGAGTTTTTACTTCTGTTTCCTCTTTCCTGTTCCATCGGTTTATGTGTCTATTCCTATACAAATACCATGCCATGTTGATTACTGTAGCTTGTAATATGGTTTAAAGTCTGGAAGTGTGATACTTCCAGCTTAAAATCTACTCATGTAAGAAAATTTCCTGCCCAAAAAAAGTCCTGGAGTAGATGACTTCTCAGCTAAATTCTATAAGGCATACAAAGAAGAGCTGATAATCTTATTGAAAATATTCCAGGCAATTGAGAAGGAAAGTATTCTCCCTAGCTCATTTTATGAAGTTAATATCATCCTGCTACTCAAAACTGGTAAATACCCAATAAGTAAGAGAATTACAGGCCAATTTCCCTGATGAACGTAGACAAAAGTTCTCAACGAGATTCCAGCAAATTGTATCCAGCAACACATTTCAAGGATCATCCACCGTGACCAGATGGTCTTCATTCCCAGGCTGCAGGGCTGGTTCAACATCTGCAGAACCATAAGCATAATTCAGCACATTAACAGGTATAAAAGCAAGAACCACGTGATTATTTCATTGGATGCAGAAAAAGCATTCGATAAAATTCAACATCCTTTCTTGATAAAAACGCACGAATACTTAGGCCTCAAAGGAACATTCCTCAAAACAATGAGAGCCATGTATGACAAAACTATAGCCAACATCATGCTTAATAGGCAGAAGCTAGAAGCATTCCCCCTGAGAACTGGACCAAGACAAAGTTGCCCATTCTCACCTCTCCTATTCAACATAGTTCTGAAAGTCCTAACCAGAGCAATCAGGCAGAAGGAAATGAGGGGTATTCAAATAGGAAAAGAGGAAGTTAAGTTATCCCTCTTTGTGGACGATAACATTCTATACCTAGAAAATCCTAGAGTCTGTCAAAAACCTCTTCACATTGATTAACAACTTTGGTAAAGTCTTGGGATACACAAATCAGTACACAAAAGACAGCTGCACTTCTATACACCAACAACAGACAGGCTGAGAACCAAATAAAAAACACAATCCCATTCACAGTAGCCACAAAAAAGTGAAATATCTTGGCATCCACCTAACCAGAGAAGTTAAAGGCCTTTAAGATGAGAACTACAAAACACTGCTCAAAGAAGTCAAGGATAGCCGGGCTTAGTGGCTCAGCCTGTAATCCCGCGCCTTTGGGAGGCTGAGGTGAGTG